CTTGGTGACATGAAGTCCATGTTCGCTTAAAGCAGTGGGAGCGTGTCGAGCGCCTCCTGCCAAAAGCGATGTCTCGCCTCACCAACTCCTACATCAGGTTCTATTCCAACCGTGCGAAGAATGTCATTGTCATCGGAGCAACCTTCTTGATGTAAATATCAAGAGGAGTGAGACTAAGAATGACTTTAATGGCAGTAGGATCTCCATACATCTCTCTGTTTTTGTCTGACGATTTTTTTGTATTCTCTGAGGTGAGATTTGTAAGTATCCCAGTTCTCTTTAAGTTTTGTGGTTCATGCCTTATTATAGGATTTCCTAGCCATCTTCCTGAGATGATCCAACTCATGACACTACTATGCGGTAGTTGTCTGATCGTCTTGGACCAGCCTAAAAGGACAGGATTTCTTATAGAAATTGTTTATTGTGCTTTGGATAGTGTTGAAGTACTTCTCCAAAGCATTGTCATTGTTTGGTGTTTCGTCTTCCATCTCTCTCAGAGCCTCTTGGAGAAGGTGTATGTACCAGAGTTGTTTCGGTGTAAGTTTGTAACATTCTGATATTATAATGTTACAATTTTTAAAATAAACTAACCTTAATGTAGGAATTTAAAGATCTATCCTTAATATATAAGCGCAGGTCTTATCCTGGTTCTCCAATTACAACTATACCACTTATTTCAATTATTCCACTAATTTATATTCACAAACTCATTTATTAGATTTCTTCTAAAACTTTCACATTTAGTAAACAATTTTTAGGTTAACACAATTCCCAGGCTTTGGAGCATACACATATATTAGTACTTAAAGCAATATTAATTTCAGGTAGGGATAAATCTTCACAATATCTTTGCTGGGGGAAAGTGACCTAGGTTTGGAAAAATTCTTATTTTTTTTTGTGCCCCCAGTGGCGCCTAAATCAACAACCTTAAAAAAACTCTGAATACAAAAATAGGTACCAATTGTGAAGGTTATTGTTAGGCAAAACAAATTGATGGTGTTAGAAGTAACTCACGATCCTGCTCACCAGAACCAGAGAGTTGCCGGAGCTGTGTAACAACTAGAAATCTTTATATGTTACAAGTTTTAAAATTATCACCAGACAGGGTGATAATTTTAAAACTTACAATGAACCAAAAAATTTTGGAGAGGTAAAACTAAATAAACACAATTTATTTTATACTCCTGGACTAGAAATATTTATTTCAAATAAATATTTCATCTTTCTTTTAAATAGGTTTGTAATTATTATGTACTATTGAACCACTCTATATCGCTATAACTCATATCGTTGAGAAGCATTTTTACTAGCTTTCCAATGATGTATGACAAATGGGGGTTTGATATCTATTTTCTTTTGTTGAAAGTGAGTTGTATATTTTGTCCACAATTCGTATCATAAATATGGTTTTAAGCATTTTTAAGCATTTGATCTTTGGGATATCCATTGTAAATTATTAAATTGTCATCTCGTATATTTCATTGTATATCTTCCGTGTAACGCATGTCTTGTACTACAACTAACAGTTTGTTCCAAACTCAAAATAGGATTATGATATAAAAAAAAATAATTTAAAGTCATGTGTCATGTTCCACAAAATTATATGATCGCTTTCTTCCACAAAAAAAAACTATATATTATGGTAACTTTTTAATTCTGAATTTATGAGAACGGTATAGAAAGACAATGCTATTACATAGAGATAAATAATACTATGTCGCTGAATGCGATTGCCCCATGTTTGCCATCGAAAGGACATGGTTAAACCGATTACTTTTTTTATCTCTCTTACATCCAAATATATTTAAAGGACTTATTTTTATTTTGCCTGATGCGTCGTGTCAATTAACGTATTTTATATGTACCTCGACATGACATGTATATGACGCTACTTTCAATTTTTTTATATTTTTCATAAGCAACATCACTCTATACGCTAATATAGCTTGCATTAAAGATTGGAGGTGAGAAATTTTATTCCTTGTAAGGCCGGTCCAAGACTGACATTCTTAGTATACAGTGTGTCCGTAAAGTATGGAACAAATTCATTTTTAGCTAAACAGACCATTTTAAGAAATAATCCTGAAACACGTCGATTTTTGATTTTAATTTACCGTATTTTAAAATAATAATCTAATATACAGGGTGAATTACTTTCGAGTAATGACGTCACCGTCATTTTTTTTAAATAAAACATTCCCATTTTGTCTTAATTTTTGGATTACTCTAGCTGAGCTGATTCCAAAAATGTATCACATGTTGATTCCAATTGGTACAGGGTGGGCAAAAATACAATAGTTTTGTGTGTGCTCATAAGGTAACGCGTAACATTCTTTATTAGTTAAATTAACAATATGATGAAATAAATGACTTTATAAATGTTCGAACTGCAGCCCTTGATGTACAAATTCTTGTTGAACTTTGTTTATTGTGTCTTGAGAAATATTGTTTATTGTTGTCCGAATTCTCTCTTTTAATTCTTGAATATTTGCTGGTTTCGCTTTATGCACAACATTCTTCAGATGGCCCCACATAAAATAATCCAAAGGATGGAAATCTGGTGACCTCACTGGCCATTCGATAGGTCCACGTCTACCAATCCACCTGTTCGGCAAAATTTCATCTAGGTACCTTCTAACATCTACAGCATAATGTGGAGGTGCACCATCCTGTTGAAACCATAAACTTTCATCACAACTTCCAGGATTACGTCTGCTGGGAAACAAATTACGTAAAGTAGGTACGAGATACCCCCTTAAAAACTCAAGGTACGTTGCCCCGTTTAAATTAACTTCGATAAAGTAGGGTCCTATGATTCGATTTCTTACAATTCCAGCCCATACATTTACCTTTTGCGGGTATTGTGTATCTATAATTCTGACGGTTAACCTCGCCATTTAACGTGAAAGTGTTTTGTATCAAGAGAGGGTCTCGGTGACATTTATCCATCATTTTTTCGCAAAATTGTATTCTTCTATCGGGATCATCTTCGTTTAATTCCTGCACAAGTTTGATTTTATAAGAATGCCATTTTTTAAGCTTTAATAGTTTGTGTACCGTTGTTTTGCTAACACCGATATCGCGACTAACTTTACGCACAGAAGTGTGCGCGTCTTCTTCAAAACTAAGTAAAACATTTAATGCTGTATCAGCATTTGCAGAGGGACGACCTGATTTGCTTACATTTTCAACCGTACTAGTTCCTCGAAATTTCATTTCAATCTTACTGAGTGTTGAACGCGTTATAGGTCTTTCTGGATATTTATAATTAAACAAATTGCACACTTCCATCTGAGTTCGCGATCTGTCTCCATACCCAATCATCATAAGTATTTCAATTTTTTGTTATACACTTATCTCTATTTCTAATTCAAATTAAATCTAAGTAATAATTAAAACCAATACTAAAAATATTGTAGTACTAAACTGTCACTGAACATCATTAAATTACTAAACAAATAATGACATTTCACAAAAAACTAGACAACTATGTTTTTTTAAAATTGATAAGAAATAATTTTTTTCATATTCTGTTTGCTAGACCACAAGTCCACCCTGTACCAATTGGAATCAACATGTGATACATTTTTGGAATCAACTCAGCTAGAGTAATACGAAAATTGAGACAAAATGGGGGTGTTCCATTTAAAAAAAAATGACGGTGACGTCATTACTCGAAAGTAATTCACCCTGTATATTAGATTATTATTTTCAAATTCGGTAAATTAAAATCAAAAATCGACGTGTTTCAGGATTATTTCTTAAAATGGTCTGTTCAGCTAAAAATGAATTTGTTCCATACTTTACGGACACACTGGAATATAAATAATGTTCTTTTTCTACTGTCTTTTTATGCAATTAAATATCTGTCAGGGCACATGGCCAGAGGCGTTGTTATCTTCTGAAGGGAAGAGGTCGTTCGTATTATTTTGTGACTTAACATGAGTAATTTTTCTTTCTTATAAAAATAACTTATTTAAATAACATGGCAAAAATAATGTGAAACTCTAACACAATGTTACAAAGGGGTGAGTTACTATTTCCCAATATTTTATATTTTAAAACTTTTTACTAAGAGCATTAGAGCGACCCTGGCAATACAAATAGAGCTATTTGTGCTGTTCAGATAACCTCAATATTGGGTAATCAGCTTAAATTAGTTCGAAATCCTATTTTGATTGGTTATCTGTACAGTACGTGATGTTTGCACCGGGCAAAAGCTTCTGTGGGTCTACTATTGTCCGTTTCATTTATAATGATTTCGATTCCGGTTGAGTGTCTCTTTGTACATATCATCACCAGCATATAGGGTGTATGTGGAATATGGAAGTACGGATATAATTAAATTGTTTGAAAATTGGCCTTAGTTGATATACATCTATTAATATACAACAAACGAATATACACTTACAATATGGCATAGAAAAAAATATTAGATTTCACAAGAGGAGCGTGTATTAATATTAATGATGTTACTATATTAGGTTTAGTTATGAGGAAATGTGCATTCTATCATCACTAGTTTAGTACTAGGAGAAAGTATCGGAAAGTAATTCTTACTGCACTTCTATCGGAGTTGGATTTGCTCTAGCTTTGGTCAGTTCTCATAGATTAATTATTCGAGCTGCCAGTGTTTATATTACTTACCAAAAAAATGCAAACTAAGCAATTAGTTTTTGTATGTAGTCGAGAAAAACTCCAAGAGAAAATTTACTCATTATTTGTCGGCAATGGAAAAGTACTCACTACGGTATCCCTCATATGGATAATTTTTTTTTTTTTCGGAAATCAAATTTCATACCCCTTATTTCTTTTTAAACTATCAAGACTTACTTAAATACAAATCTGAAAATTTTGAAAATTGCTGTTTCTAATCCTTTCCATTATGCAGCTAAATCAATTGAAATATATATTTTATAAAAATTATAATTAAAAAGATTAGGTACTTATTTATTAAAAGAATATAAAATTACAGATCAGTCAGGATAATTGCTTTTATGGGGCTCTTTTTTACAGTCTGGATATAGATTTCTATGCTCATGCACACAGAGCAAAAATTGTTTTTTTTTTCTTCATTTGCAGTGAAAATCTTGCATAAATTTTACAGACCTTTCAGCTGTATCAATAACTGCCCTTATGAAAATAACTTTTCTTTTTCTTCTTAATAGGCAACATCTTCGTCTCATGTAGAAACGGGTCTCTGGATGGAAATTCTCATCAATTTTTAATCGAGAAAATAAATTTTCACCCTTGATAGACACAAAATCACTTAATGATTTTCCTGCAACAATAAATAAAGCAGTTTTATAAAAAATAAATGTATTCCTACTTACCATACAAATAATCAGACACATCTTCTTTCGATGGAATGTATCTCTTCCCAAAATCATACAAACTCTCTCTTTGTATGTTTAGTACGATATTTTCCTTGGTTTCTTCATCAACTTCATCATCAAAGAGTGAAAGAATGGCAATTTCTTTTGACAAGTACCAAAGATATTGACTAAACTTTCTCAAGGCTGCTTTGGAGATCAACTTGTCAACAGTTTCATATTCCTCAAGTCTTGATTTGATACCTTCACCGCCAGATTACATTAAAGCCATGATTTCACATAATATAACGGCAATGAATAAACAAACGTCTTGAAGTGCTCGTTTACCCTTGGCGCTAATTTTAAACTAAGATTGCAACAAACATATTTTTAAAGAGTAAATAGCTCTAGTCATTCATATAGCTTAATGCATCGCTCCAGTAAGTCTGATTTTAATGTTTTTCCCATTCTCCTCCTAAGAAAAGAATTGATAGTTCAAGCAGTTCTCGATAATCGTCACGTACAATGTATTTTTGCAATTCTTGATTATAAAAGGTCAATCATTCTTTTGTATTGTTGTATAACAAAAATGTTGTTTGAACATTGTGATATCAGGGCTACTTGTGATTTGGTGGATTTTTGTTTTTAAAACCAGTTCGTGAACGTAATTCTTTTCTTCCTCTTTTTGTAGTAGTTTTAAATCCGTTTGAAAGGTGGATGGCAAGGGTTCCTCAGAGCTTTTATCAGAGCTCGTAGGTTAATCGTAATATCCTTGCGTTTGTATAAAATCTTGTGTGGTCATGTGGCCTCTTCCGCCTTGACCTTTTCAGATCTATTGTGGATATCCTTTAATCGTTGTCTTGTCTAATTCGGTCTTTTGTAGTAGACTCCATAGACTGGAAAGTAGTTCTCTGGTATAGCTAGTTTGCTTTGGGTTTTCTTCTCCAAGTGTAAGGAATCTCAGTCTTGCTAGACCTTCGCAGTAGCACAATACGTGTTCTGCCATTTCCTCCTTTTCCTGACAGAATCGGCACAATGTCTTTTTTGTCAGACCGATAATATACATATAATAATAATAATATTAATAATAATAATAATAATAATAATACTCTCCCTAATATGTTTGTAAAGCCTACAATGCCCTGTTAAGAGACCCATAGTACTCTAGTATTTTTCTTATTAAGGCTTAGTAGATGCTCGGTGAGTTTAGAGATGGTGAGTTTTGGCTTGCCTCTGTCCTTATGAGTTTTTTTATCACTCTTAAAATTTTTTAAACATACACTGTTTTTTGCATATTCTGATAGTTGTTTTTGGTACACCACAAAAGGGTTCTGGGCCAATAAGAGCATTTAAGGCTTCTTCTCGGGCTAGTAAATTAGCCTCTTCATTGCCCTTATGTCATCTGTGGCCTAGTATCTAGGCTAAGGTTAGTCTCTTTTGACCACTCAGCTCTGTTAGGGCTTCCAAACAGTCCCACGCAAGGTTTGAGTGTACCTGCATGGAACTGAGTGTTTTTAACGTCGCTTGACTGTCTGAGTATATGACAATGGTTTTTCCATTTACCTACTATCTTAATACTTCTTTTGCGCAGTGATGTATTGCTGTCATTTCTGCCTGGAATACTGTCGCGTGTTTTCCTAAGCTCAGTGAGTTTCTTGTCTTTGGCATGGTACTATGTATACCTTTTTCTGAACCTTCATGGGTGTTGGAGCCGTCTGTATACCAAGTAAATTCTGCATGAATAGGAGGTCCTTCCGTCTACTCTTCCCTGTCTGGTATACTTACTTTATATTGGTTTTGAAAGCTATTCTTTAGAAGCATTTCGTCTGAAGGCATTTCCATTATTTGGTCGTTGTCTAACTCTTTATGTACCTCGCTGTAGTCGCGTCCATGCAAACTGCTTATGGCTGATGAACCTTTTTGCAGTTTGTATGTGACAGATCTGGCTTCACCTTGAATGAATATATGTAGTGGTGTTAGGTTTAGCATGACTTCTATAGCTGCTGTTGTAGTCGTTTTCATAGCTCCCGTGGTACTCAGGCATGCTTGCTTTTAAATATCATTGAGATGTCGAATGGCTCCAACTTGCCGAGTCTTTGGCCACTATACCACCCGTTGGTTATCATCGGCCTTATGACTCTGGTATATAACCATAGGGATATTTTTGGTTGTAGTCCCCAATTTTTTCCTCACAACTTTCGACATAAGTTAAAAGATGTTGTGCTCTTTTGGGTGACTTTTTGCAAGTGTTGATTCCATGTTAACCTGTGGTCAAAGATAACTCCCAAGTATTTGGCCTTTTGAACAAACGGAATCTTCACTCCTTTCAGTACTGGTGACTTTAGTCCTGTTGGTACTTTTCGTTTTGTAAAGTTAACTATTATGGTTTTGCGAGGGTTTACTGTTAGTTCCTCCTATCTGCATCACTCGTTAACAATGTTTAGAGCGGTTTGTGTGCGCATTGATATTATACCTGCGAACTGGCCTCTTACGACGATCGCCAGGTCATCGGCTTAAACTAGGCAGTAGAAATCTGCAGATATTAACCTTTAAATGAGTTCGTCTACTAGAATTGACCAGAGGAGGGGTAGCCCCTGCCTGCTTAAGCTGTCAGTGTAGCTTTGCCTAGAGATGCTGTTTTAGGGTGATATTTTTGTTTTATTCAAAAATTTGATGCTCCTTGTTTTTTGCAAAAATCAAGATGCTCTGCTAGCTTCGAATAAAGTCAGCAGAGCACCTCAGTTTTTTCCAAAAACGACACCTTATTTTTAGGCTCTTAAAATATTATACTACTTTTCGAAAAAAATTGATATTTTTAAAAAACACTGGGTGCTTTGCTAGGTTTGAACAAAGCCAACAGAGCATCTCGGTTTTTAAAAACTTTTTTATGAAAACAACTACACCACATTTTTTGGCTATTTTTAGGCTCTTGAAATATTATAAAATTTAAAAAATACAGTGGGCTTTGCTAGTTTCAAACGAATCCAGTAGAGCATCTTGGTTTTTAAAGCTTTTTTCTAAAAACAACCACAGCACATTTTTTGGCTTTTGAAATATTATAAAATTTTACTAAAAAATGTCTATTTTGAAATAATACATGGTGCTTTTTGGAACAAAGATAACAGAGCATCTCTGTTTATCATTATTATTTTTTTTAACAATTATTTATGCTAAATTTTTAAGGTAGTTTTAGGATCTTGAAATATTATAAAACTTTTCTAAAAAAATGTTATTTTTAAATAAAACAGGGTACTTTTTTGGAAAAAGTCAGTACAGTACATCGGTTTATGAATTTTTTTCTGAAAAAAAAAAATAGCTTCGAACGGATCCAGCAGAACACTTTAGTGTTTTAAAGCTTTTTTTCTAAAAACACCCACACCACATTTTTAGGCTATGTCAAGGCTCTTGAAATATTATAAATTTTACTATAAAAATTCTATTTTTAAATACTAATATTAATTTTGATGGAACAAGTAAGCAGTGCATCTCAGTTTAACTATTTTTTTTTTTTTTTTTTTTTCTAAAAACTATCTACGTCATATTTTTAGGCTTTTGAAATATTATAAAATATAAAATCGCTAAAAATGCTATTTTTAAATAATACAAACTTTTGTTGGAACAAAGTCAGTAAAGTACATCGATTTAACTATTTTGTTTTTTTCTGAAAATTATATATTTCGAGAGCATAAAAATAACCTAAAATCGTGATGTAGTTGTTTAAAAAAAAAACTAAAATACTGATGTACTTTGCCGAGCGAAAAAATTTATATTTCAGAGACAAAATTTAATATGGTGTGGTTTGTTTACAAAAAAAAAAAAATAAAAAATAAAAATAGAGAAGAAGCTCTCTTGGCTCGTTCTAAAGTTAAAAAAGCATGTCGTATTTTTGTATGAATGGCAAAATTTTTGGGACGTTTTATAATATTTTAAAAGCTTTCAACTAAGGCGTAGTTATTTTTAGGAAAAAACCTTTAAAAACACAAAAAGTAATTTTTTTTAGACAAATTTTATATTTTAAGAGCCTAAAAATAGCCTAAACACGTAGTGTGGTTGTCTTGAGAAAAAAGGCTTTAAAAATCGAGGTGCTCTGCTGACTTTGTTCCAACAAAACACGCTGTATTATCCATAAATAACAATTTTTAGTATTATATTTGGAGAGCCTAAAAATAGCCTTAAAATGCGGCGTGGTTGTTTTTAGATAAAAAGCTATAAAAAACCGAGGTACTCTGCTGTATTCGATCGAAGTATTATTTATAAACAGCAATTTTTTAGTAGTGTTATAATATTTAAAGAGCCTAAATAGCCTAAAAATTCGATGTGTTTGTTTTTAGAAAAAAAGCTTTAAAAAACAGAAGTGCCCTGCTGGCTTCGTTCGGAGCTAGCAAAGCTAGCACCCTGTATTTTTTAAAAATAACATTTCTTTTTGAATAGTTTTATAATATTTTAAGGACCCAAAAATACCATAAAAATATGGTGTGGTTGTCTTTAGAAAAAAACTTAAAAAACTAAGGTTCTCTGCTGACTTCGTTGGAAGCCAGCAGAACACCTTGATTTTTGCAAAAAACAAGAAGAATAAAATTTTAGAATAGAATATAAAACTAGCCTTAAAATAGGCTAAAAATATGACGTAAGTTTCAACTCAAAATTGTCTAGATGCTCTGCTGGTTTCTTTGACAAACAAACTATTACTGTTTAAACCCGCAATACTTCCAAATTCATACTATACTCGTCGATTCGCTACGCTCACTCTTGCACATTTACCCATCATTTGCACGTAATTTTCAATTCAGCTCACCACTTCGCCAACAAGAAGACAATTCTAAAATCCACATGTTTGCTCTCATTGTCTTTTCAGTGATTACAAAGTGTACTTTGCCTGCGGTTGGGTATACGTGAGGTACTCAAAATACAATTTTAACCTTTTTCAACAATTCTACTTACTTTTTTTGATGATCTTCAACACAATGCACTTTTTCTTTACACAGTATTTTTTTTATTTGCGCTTCTGGAATTTGCACTTCTTGAGGTGCAGTGTGCGTTTTTTTTTCTTTGTTAAATGAAATTAAAAGCTTGTTTTCCGTAATATTAATGCAATTTGAAATTTCTGTTTGAACAGATAAATCACATTTGTTTACTTTTTGAGGCACTGTAGACACAAAGCGAGTTTTTTGCACAATGGGTATTTATCCTTTTAAAATATCACAATTTATTAGTTAATATTAAAATGAATATTTACTCAATTTTTTATTTTGTATCCCATTGAC